TGCGATCACGAATTATCCTCGCAGTGGTATCATGTCCAATTTGAGTATGGGATTTCTCCGCAGATCTAAACTAAGACTAATTTTTATCAAGCATAGTTTATCCAGGCTAACACAATATTTGCGCAGTACGAAAGACCTTTAATTTAAGTAAATAGGCAAATATTTCATCGCACGTGACTATCTGATCGTTGATACAATTCATATTGACCTTTGCATAACATTATTGCCATCCAGTCACGATATCCAGTGATCCACGGAGCCGGTGCGATAGTCCTTCCATTGTTTTCAAAATCCCACTGTTCTCCATGCCATCCAGTCACGATCCAGTGACCGGAATGTTCCATTGTCTTTTCATTGTTTCAAAATCCCACTGTTCTCCATGCCATCCAGTCATGATCCAGTGACCGGAATGTTCCATTGTCTTTTCATTGTTTCAAAATCCCACTGTTCTCCATGCCATCCAGTGATGATCCAGTGACCGGAATGTTCCATAGTCTTTTCATGGTTTTGAAAATTTCACTGTTCTCCATGCCATCCAGTGATGATCCAGTGATCGGAATGTTCCATAGTCTTTCATTGTTTTGAAAATCCCACTGTTCTCCATGTCATCCAGTCATGATCCAGTGATCAGAATGTTCCATTGTCTTTTCATTGTTTTGAAAATCCCACTGTTCTCCATGCCATCCAGTCATGATCCAGTGATCAGAATGTTCCATTGTCTTTTCATTGTTTTGAAAATCCCACTGTTCTCCATGCCATCCAGTCATGATCCAGTGATCAGAATGTTCCATTGTCTTTTCATTGTTTTGAAAATCCCACTGTTCTCCATGCCATCCAGTCATGATCCAGTGATCAGAATGTTCCATTGTCTTTTCATTGTTTTGAAAATCCCACTGTTCTCCATGCCATCCAGTCATGATCCAGTGATCAGAATGTTCCATTGTCTTTTCATTGTTTTGAAAATCCCACTCTTCTCCATGCCATCCAGTCACGATCCAGTGATCAGAATGTTCCATTGTCTTTTCATTGTTTTGAAAATCTCCCTGTTTTCCATGTCATCCAGTCACGATCCAGTGACCAGAATGTTCCATAGTCTTTTCATTGTTTTGAAAATCTCTCTGTTCTCCATGCCATCCACTCACTGTTTTGACATTGTTATGAAATAGTCCTATTGAAAAATATTTTCAAGGGCTGACAGTATTTGGTTCAGTGTTTTACAACATCTACATCAAGATTGTTCTTGTTACGTCATCCCATTAAGATAGTGGAGTACCCCCTTTATCTTAGAATTCCCTTTATCTCAGAATTCCCTTTATCTCAGAATTCCCTTTATCTCAGAATTCCCTTTATCTCAGAAACCCCTTTATCTCAGAATTCCTTTTATCTCAGAATTCCCTTTATCTCAGAATTTTAGTTAAGAAATATTTCAACTTCAGTCTGTTTATCTGATAATGGTCTGTTCGAAATTCACAGCATTACGCACGTATTGGCGTTTTCGCTTTCATTATTCGTTTATCTACGTCATCGTCACCTGTGATACGATAATTATGTCATTTCTATATATAGCATCATGACTTTCAATTTTAAATAACCTTATATATGAACACCTGTCTACAGGAAGGCGTTATAATGATCGGAGTTGTTCCAGCTTTGTTTGTGCTGGATAGCTTTATCAGTTTGAAATCTCCATAGGGACATCCCTTATTGATTATCTCGGATAGCTTTCTCCCTAGAGGTCCAGTAAAGGACATCCAGTAGATCTCCCTAGAGGTCTAGTAAGGATCATCTCTTATTGATCCAGTGTTACTACAAGAGGAAACCTACACTAAACTAACTTTATTTATACTGGATAGCTCTATCAGTTCTAAACTGTTCTCCCTAGAGGTCCAATAAGAGTCATCTCTTATTGATCCAGAGTTACTACGGGAGGAAACCTAAACGAAACTAACTTTGTTTATACTGGATATAGCTTTATCAGTTCTAAACTGTTCTCCCTAGAGGTCCAGTAAGGGTCATCCCTTAATAGAGAGTTTAAGCTTCGCGCTATACGCTATACGTCAAACGCCACGCAAAGAAAAATATTACGGTATGACGCAATAAAGAGTAAATGAACTTGCTGCAGTACATGTACAAAACTGAAATACATCATTACTCTTTCGACGCAAGAAAGAAAATATGAAACGAAAACGTTCAACAAAAATTTTGCCAAGAAAGTTCGAACCTCATGTCGTTCCCGGAAACGTGAATTACTGGAGGAAACCTAACTAAACTAACTTTATTTACACAGGATGGCTCTATTAGTTTTAAACTGTTCTTCTTGGAGATCCGGTACGGCTAAGGATCATGTCTTATTAATCCAGTGTTACTACTAAACTAAACTAATTTTAAGGATGAGTAGCATGCACACCCGCTCACTTAGGAAGACTGGATGATTCATTTAATAAAACTTTTATCGCAGTTTTGATAAACAATCAAAATGATATTTGAAAGTTGACTTAGTTTAGTTTGATTCAAGTAGCAGTACAAAGTTCACAGTTCAAACAATCTTTTACAGTCGGGAAAAAACTCGTGACATGATTCATCCGGCATGAACAACCCCTAATACTACAAATACCCTGAAAAGTATAAACTTAGTCAAGTACTACTGCTTTGACGCAAATACATACGCACTCAGTAATCAATATGCGAATTTATAAGAATAACTTTATCGCGTAGATTGACATTTTAATGAGCCATTCAGAGCATATGTTTAAAGTCACTTGGCGGCAACAAAATTTTTTATGTCTGACTTTGCTATTATTACCTTGGCTAATGCATTCTTGCATCACGACATGTGTGCCGAACGACGCGCTCTGCTGCGTCTAGTGTTTCTTTTTAAAAACGATTGTCGTCGCTTGCATCTGACGCGGACAGTTGGGCGTTTTTTGTAGGCAAAAATGTCGTCAGGAAGTAATTGCTCACTTCTTTATAAACTGACGAATCCTAATCTTGTTGGGGCAGTTCAGACACAAAGTACGACAGCTTATCTCGCACGGCTTATCTTGTGCCATATATTACATACATAATTCGCAACAATTATCCAAATCGCACTAAAAGGTTTTTTTTTTACGAGGGATACAAAGATTGCGAGAGCAATTTCAGAAATTTTGTATCACTTAAATGTGTCTTCGTCTGCCAAATTTCGGCTATAATCCATTCCACAGGCCGACAGACGTGTGGTTTTTGGTGTGAGATGGCTTAAAATTGGCAATAACAAGCTAGCATGCGGCGAATTTTGGATACTCTCAAACATCGCTAGCAGGTAGCATGTTTAAGACCTGCTAAGAAGCAATACCGCTTGTATGTGCGCACATTTGACACAGCATTTTCAATGACGTACTCGCTTTTTCCCCATGTAGAAATATAGCCAAACGAAGCCCATTTCTCGATGGATGTTTGCTCGAGAAAACCTAATATTAAACTTGATCGATTTTCTATCAGCCAGGCAACAGAAACCGAGAATTCCTTGGCAAGGGTTTTGAAATTCCTCAGTTTTCCAAAAATTCCGTACGTTACGTTTCTGTAATTTTTGCTTAATTAAAGTGACACTGACCCCAAATCTAATTTTGGCATGGGATATCATTATAGTAGTACATCTTTTCCGACATGTGAGAAGAAGCTCTAACACTTTTTTCTTAGATAGAAATAGTTCATCAGTGGCTCTCTTTTGTCCCAAAATTACTGGTGAATAACTAATGTCGTCATACCAATGTGGTGTCATTATTTTGCGTATAAAAGTTCCAAAACTCGTTATGGGAAGGGTTCGAGTCTTCGAGAAGCTATATCTTTCGAGCTATACACATGCTAAGACGTTTACTTGATAGTTAAGCCAGTTCGATATGTGAATAATTTGACAGATGAAAGAAATCTCATCTCGTTATAAATATGCAAGATTTTTTAAAACAGTAGCTGTAGTTATAGCGAACTACATTTTGCCTAAAAGTAGCCAAGTAGTTGACTACTTTTCAACTGACAGCGAATCGCTATTCGCTACTTTTTAAAATTGTTAGCAACTTGATAGAATAGCATGTTATTGAGACACGGTTTGCTTAAAGTTAAAATCAATACTCAATAGTCAATTTGCATTCTTTGTTTACTGTTGCTACTCGTAAGTCGATTTGTTATAGGTTACATTTCAGCCTGAGTTAGTAGATGCTCCAAATACAGTAAAACTAAAAAATATAGCGTAGCGAAATAGCGAAATACATTTTTTAAGCAGTAGCTGTAGTCAGTAGCGAACTACTTTTGTTCAAAAGTAGATGCAGAAGTTGTAGCTGACTACATATTTTTGAAGTAGCTGTAGTTATAGCGAACTACAAAAATTTGGTAGCCAACCCACCCTTGCAAATACAACTCACCAACTTAGGAGTTAGAGTTGTGTACTTGATTTACACAGTACACTCGAGTTTATAAACAGTGAAATACATGGCATCAAATTACTTTCTTGTAACTTTGAAAATGAACAAGATTAAAACTCGAAAAATTGTACATTTTACAAGAGAATCGTATTCCAATAAAATGTCCGTTATGCATATGTCGCTGAGCTTCATTTACTGTATGCGAAATTCCTGTTTTTAAGGATCAATCTTTCAAAGTTAGATTCCTGCCGGCAGCTGTCGCTTTATATTGAAACGACTCCGTAATAAGACAAAGCAAATGACATGTCGGTTGTTAATTGCTTGCTGGCCTATCGCGATGCGTTTAGCCAATGAGAGCACAGCACTCGGCTAGCATCCCTGCTGGCATGATTCGCATAACAAAGACACACTTGACTTTCGAAGAGCGAGAGGGCCACTAGAACTTCTCGGGTTACTAAGAACACTGTATTTTCCCGCTCGCGGCGAACTTTTGAATATAAGGAATGATGGTCAATGATATTAGGTGATGGTCAGGCGGTGTATCTCGGAAAACGGCACGAGGACGGTGCTTTTAATAATATGCTCGATTAGTTATCTCCTAGTCGGAGCTGCTGTGTTCAGCGCTCTGGAGTATGAAGACGATCAGAAGAGGCGACTTCAAATTCAAAGGCTTTTCAAACGTTTTCAAGCGAAATATAATATAACCAAACAGGATTTTGCTGAATGGGCCGAAGTACAACGGTATCAGCGCGGTATGGATTCGACGGTCGAACAGTGGAGTTTTGCCGGCTCTGTGTATTTCGCTACGACAGTTATAACCACAATAGGTATGTCAATGTAGCCAAATAATTATGCATACACGTCTCTGTACAGCGAAAGTAATACGATAAGTAAATGGCAGCTTCTTGACAAACTAATAACGGATAAAAATAAATAGAAGTTTGTTTGCCTGGCGAGCGAATCGCGTAAGTTTCCCGACATTTTCTGCCTGACAGCTTTCAATGTTGCGAACATGAATTTCTGAGTGTAATTATATCCATAGAAATTCTGTGTTTGAATAAATTAGACCATATAGGCTCAGTACAAAAAGATTATTTTAATAACTACGTTTCGGAGTATAACTCCATCTTCAGGTTAAAAAGTAACTGACAAAACAACGTATGCCTTAATCCCCTCTTGTAAGACGAGTGCAATATACTTTATAATACTTAAGTCTTAACTTAATAATGCGTTGTATGTCACGATTTTAAGACAGAACTCGTAAAGCATTCAGTATCTCAGAGGCCCGAATTTTTAACAGGCCATTTGTGTTACACTGCACTTTAATAGTAGCATTTAATATGTACTGCCATTAATACGGTCAAAATGCTCAGAAGGATAAAACATACATATAATAGTTGGGGGGTTTTCACCGGCTTGTCACAGCTTTCGATATTACGGTGTTGCACTAAAGGTTGCAGTTGAATAATACAATGACCTCGTTTCCCTAGCGCTTGAAAAATGCTTAAACGATTAATACAGCGATAAACATAAAAATATTGTCCAGTATTGCATTGCGTAGGTTGTATAAAGGTGTAAATAGCGCGTTGATAATGCAAGGGTAACTGAGCGAATAATAATTAAAATGTTTAAGACTTAAGTAAAGAAACTTCATCCCAGTCAAATAAACATGCCTTCGGTGTATTGTTTGACGTTTTTATGTTAAGTACCGCACTTCAAAAAAACCGGAGTTTCTCGAGAGGTTTTTCAACATTCAATGACAATGTATTTTTCGTAAGTTACTGATTGTTTTTTGGTCGCGCTTGTGCGAATCGATATTGCGACAGTTCGTATCCTATGGCTATGGAACCGAGAAGCTACTTATAAAAATACTTTTTGTACATATTTGTTTTAACGGCATTGTCTGTGAACATTCTTCATGCTCTAAAGCGATTAATGCTTGTTTTAAAAGCATAAAACATGCATGTTGTTGGTTTTTAAATTTTAGCAAGGGCTTATATTAATGTGCGTGTATATGCAACGTTTTCGTTCGAAATTCAAAAGTGTTTTTTTTTCTGTATTGCTGTTCGCTTGCGACACATTATCACATATTCTATGAAAGTGTACATTTCTCGGGTTCAGTTTTTTCTTGCTTTTTATAACTAACGGTTTTTCATGACGTTCAAAACCTTGAATTGTCTAAAACTATATTAATATAACAAATTCTGATGCGCGCTATTTGTTTTACTTTTTTTAAATATTTGAGGCAGGATACAGATTCGAAAATGATCGATTGCTCCGTGAAATTGCAGCGACGTTATATATCATGGGAAATTTGAAAATGCGTATTGCATTATACGCGTCGTCATGCAAGCGTCGCATCACGCCCCCTTGAAAATCTGCTATTATACCTAAAGTTACTGCGCCAAAGCGCGATCTGGGGAAATATTACGAAGCGTCGCGAGCTCTCCTTGTATTTTTCAAGTATTTCTGAATATGTTAAACCAACTTCTAACATTGCCTGGCTTTGGTCATATATTTTTGAATGACAACTGCTCCATGACAAAATGTCTTAACTGATATAGATGACACGGCGATTTGGAAGTGATATCTTACACAATATCTCACTGAAAACTAAAAAAAAAATTGTTTGGTTCAGAACTTTAACTAGTGACATCTGACGTCTGAAATAACAAAGATCCCCATACGTTGACATCGTTTTTTACGCGCCTCGCGATACTATCGTTTGTCGAATTGTCAGTCCCGCGATTTGTCATTCTGGCATGTGGGAATTAATTTTTTATACTCTATTTCACGTATGCCAAAACCCGCATGTGCAGAACGATCGTTTTGAGCTATGCAGTATAAATGCCTGTCAAGTGTCAACTGTTAGCTATACATAAGTAAGAGGTACCAACATTTAGCCACGTTTATTACATATGGATAGAGCTTACAGATTTAACTACCTTTAAAAATACAAGTAAAATTTATAGTAGTATATTTAATATATATATATATAGAACTTAACCCATTACTCCATTAGCTGAAATATGTCCAAATGCATCTACACCATATTTTTTATGCTAACTAACGTCAATCGATTTTACTCATCAATGGGGGGTCTTGGCGTTTTAATGCAGGGTTAACCAAACGATGTGCAAACGTGCGTTGTTAACCCATTAAGCTGCAATTTCGCTCAAAAGCGCCCTACTTTATTACTTATCAATGTCTGACGCCTCAAACGTTAGACAGAGGGGAGAGTCTTTGCGCGTCATGGGATTTAATTACGAACTAAACTAACTTTATGCATTCTGGATAGTTCTATCAGGTCTCAACTGTTCTCCTTATATTCTTTGTTTACAATCACGTGACTTTTCATCCAAATGACGGGCAATCAAACAACTTGTGGACGTTTTTTCTTCTATCAGAATGGTTGTAGCAAGAAAAACTGAACGGTAACTCATCGTTTGAGTCTTAAACAGTCTCTAACTCGATGAATACATTATAATAGCCGTTTTCTGTTCCACCTGCCCGTCAACTGAAATCCCAAAATTACGTCATTGCAAACAAGGAATTAGAAATCAAATGAGGACCATGCCTGGTTGATCCAGTGTTACTACAGGAGGAAACCTAAACTGAACTGACTTTATTTATACTGGATAGTTTTATCACTAGACTGTTCTCCCTATACAGGTCAAGTATAGGAATCATCTCTTGTTGATTCAGTGTTACTACGGGAGGAATCCTAACCTAAACTAACTTTATGCATTCTGGATAGCTCTATCAGTTCTAAACTGTTCTCCCTAGAGATCCAGTAGGGATAATCTCTTGTTGATCCAGTGTTATACTGCAGGAGTAAACCTCAACTAAACTGACTGTATTTATTTACACTTGGTCATTCAATTGGTTCTAAACTGTCCTCTCTTTGAGGTCCAGTAAGGGCCATCACTTTTTGGGCAGTCCTTGCTCTTGGTAGCTACAATGTCATTAACAATTTCACAGAAATACGATTTTTATTTGCGAGTCTCTGACGACCGAAGAACTGTGTAAGCTATAAGTTGTTACGGTCAGCGGTTTCATTGATGCATTGCGTGACATATGTGCGCAAAATATTCATAAATTTTGCTAGTGACTTTGTACTTTTTGCTATTAACAGTGAAACCTACTAGCACATGCGTTTCCTATAGCTACACACATGAAAACGTGTAAATTGTTACAGGTCTGCAAACAAGTTGTTACAAATCTGTAACCGGCAAGCTGTCGACAAGTTGTGTTCACCTTGCTTGTTCCTAGTTGTTGTAACAAGTTTAGAACAAGCTGTTGACAACTTGTAACAAGCTTGATGGCATTGTCAGACTTGTTACAAGGTTATTCAGACAAGTCTGATGCAGTCATGATATAACAAGGTTGTAACAATCTTGTTATATCATGACTGTATTGGACTTGTGGAACAACCTTGCAACAAATCTGATAATATCAACAAGGTTGTTACAAGTTCTTAACAGCTTGTTCCAAACTCGTTGACAACTTGGGACAAGCAGTGCGAACACAACTTGTTGACGGCTTATTGGCAGACTTGCTAAAAGATATGAGATTTTTGCGTGTGTGTAGACCATTGTCCCGCTTCCACTAAAATATTTTGTTCCTCATAGGCTATGGACATACAGTACCTCGAACTAACAGAGGCAAGATGTTTTGTATATTATATGCTACAATTGGAATACCACTGGCAATCACAGCTTTACAATCAATCGGAGAACGTTTTAACGCACTGGTACGATACAGTTATCGAATCTTCATGCGTCGACTGGGCAAGAAACGCGAAATCAGTACAAACAGTATGGCTGCAGTGGGCCTAGTTGGTTTAGCTATAACAGTATGCTTCGGTGCGGCAATATTTAGCTACTACGAGCACTGGAACTATTTTGAGTCGTTGTACTACTGCTTCGTTACTCTAACGACGATAGGTTTTGGTGACATGGTCGCGCTTCAAGACAGCGTCGAAGAGAGATTCGGAACATTTTACATAAGTCTTTCGATGATTTTTATATTTATTGGTCTCACTATTGCTTCGTCGTTTTTGAACCTACTGGTTTTACGGATGATGGAGATACGAAACAAAACGTCAAAGCCGAAAGAACGTTTGCTACCAGGCGCACCGGAAAATTGTGAAAATTGTCAGACGGAGTCTTTGAACGATACCACACAAGTGACCGATGTGGATTATGTCTCGGACTTGCTTCGGCATTTTGAAGACGAAATTACGTTTACAACATACAGGACTATGTATAGTCGGAAACGCGCGTCTATTTGAAAGATTTAGTTATTTTTATGTCGCGCAACATTTGCACGCTGGTATAGCCTGCGCGCAGACTGTGTGAATTGGTTTGTGGGGTCTGCGAGTCTGTGACGGAAAGCTTGTAATGGTAATGTGTGTTTTTGTGAAACGTCTTGATGAGAACATTCAACAATTTAAAATAAATGAATGATATCTGTTGGTGAGAAAATTGAACTTAACGTTTGTGTAAATCATGATGATTTTGTATCAGATATACAAACTCCTTCACAGTCCTGATTTCATGAGAATTATTAATGAGTTCCACAAGCTATTCTCTATGTTCTGGGGTAAACGAGCATTAATTTTTTTGCAATTATCGATTCACTTATCACGCGGAATCGTCTCACATGACAATATAAGCTTTCTAACGCAGGCTCTCAGACCACGTATACCAATGGACCATTTGCATTATAGACTAAATCTAGACAAAAATTTCATCACAGCTTGAAAGAGCATCACAAAATTAGTAATCTTCCAAAGTTTCGTTGCGAAATGTTGTAAAATGCGGATAATATAGCCTTGCGAAATTTCCAATATTCAGTCATTTTGTATTAATACAAACGGGAAATTGATGCCCCGACACCCGATTGGGCTGTCAATTTCCCGTGCGTAATACAAAATGACTGAAAAACGGCAAACTTCGCATGGCTATATTATCCGCAATTTACAACATTTTGCAACGAAACTTTGGAATATTACTAATTTTGTGATGCTCTTTCAAGCTGTGATGAAATTTTTGTCTAAATCAAAATTTAGTCTATAATGCAAATGTCCATTGATGACGTATGCGCGCCGGCCATTGCACTAATGGAAGATCAATTAGGATGCGTAAAAATCTCGCATCTTGTAACAAGTCCGCCAACAAGCCGTCAACAATTGTGTTCACACTACTTGTCCCAAGTTGTCAACAAGTTTGGAACAAGCTGTTAACAACTTCTAACAATCTTGTTGATATTATCAGACATGTCGCAAGGTTGTTCCAACAAGTCCGATACAGTCTGATATAACAATATTGTTACAACCTTGCATGTGTCATCAACATTGTAACATTCTTGCTATGTCATGACTGCATCAGACTTGTTGTTGAACAACCTTGTGACAAGTCTGATAATGCCATCAAGCTTGTTACAAGTGGTTACAAACTTGTTACAACAACTTGGAACAAGCAGTGCGAACACAGTTTCTCTACAGCTTTCTGAACAGATTTGTAACAACTTGTTTGCAGACCTGTAACAACTTGTGCGTTTTTACGTGTGTAGCAAACGATTGTCACAAGTCTGGTATTAGTTGTTACTAGCAAATTTAAGATCTGCTATGCACCGCAGATCTTAATAAACTTTCGATAGTAATTGTTCACGCCGGTAGATTTTGCAGTTGTTGTAACTTGTGTAAGACAAGTTTTTATCATCTTTTAATAAGTTTGCGCGATAACTATTATCAGACTTGTAAAGTTGTTGCAACAAGGGAGCAACACATGCTGAAACGTTGTTGTTACAGCTTGTAACGACTCGGCAACGCGCTCTGGTTAAAAGTTCGCTGGTTAACTTATAAATGGTTGGAACAACCTTGTTACAAAATTCGAGACAAGCAGTGCAAATTCAATTTGTTCACAACTGCAAAAAGAAAATATTTGGACGAGTTTTCCTCTTTATATATATAATGATTAATGTCTTATAAATATGGTTTCAATATTAAAATGTAACATAAGCCAAGATATAAGTCAAGTAATTTTTATACTATATGCACGAAAGAATTTAGCTTTTCGAATAAACAATAAATGCAAATAATGCTATAGAAAACAGAAGGATTTGTTGGAAAGCCGAAACGTTGGAAAGCCAAAACTGGCGGCTTTCACAGAAACATGTGTTTCACAGAAACTTGTGTTCACGCAAACGTGTGTTCCACGGAAATATGTGTGCCTCATGTTACCAAGCGATGTACATGGTTGCTTTAAAACAAAATCATTACTTTCCTGTGGAAAAAGTTCGCAACAAGATCCCTCCTCTGTAATCAAAAAACAGTTACGTGCAATTATATCTTTAATTGGAAGCTACAGGCAAATCTGTATAGACGTGCATACAAAGCAACAATAGCTGTATTTCATATCATTGACACGAAATAGAATTCAAACGCCAACACGGCGCGTTGTAGATAATGGCAATTTGCAAACAAAATATTTGAACAAATGTTTCGAGCCAGTATTGAATACAAATAATCATAGCAATCACACGCCCCATCAAATATTCAATGGTTTTAATATTGAATAGACGTGTGTTGATATATATAGAGAACACGAAAAGCAATTAATCTTGTTTGATCTTTAGAAATTTGACGCGCCTAAATGGCGAGGATTTTTGAATTGAATTCTGTGCCGTATCGTGAGAAGTCGACACGAAACTGGCCCCGCACACCGCGCGAACAAGCGGCCATAAATCTGTACTGTATGGAAATTAAACTGCCTTAAGAATATTCGCGAACACCTCATTAACAGGGAGAGTTTACAATTACTCATAATCCTTCGCTGTTTGTATTAAGGACGAATTACACTGAACACGCAACTTTTGCCTAAATTTGTCGCATGCAACCTGCTTACAACTTGAGTTGTACTGTGTAAATCAAGTCGTGGGTGAGTTGTGTGCTTGATTTATATACACAGTACAACTCAAGTTGTAAGCAGGTTTTCATGCGACAGTTTTGGGCAAACAGTTGTGTAGTGTAACTGTGTATGTCGGCCTTTTTCACATCACGTTTTGCGCAAAAATCGGCGGGTGTAACATGGCCTTAAACAAACTGATGCAGAGATCGACCGTTTGCGCCTTTCTCATTTCCAAACCACAGCGCCCACACGAAAACCGCTAATTTTCACAGCGGCAATTTCAAACCTCTAATTACAAAACCTTAGATCCGAAAAACAAATATACGCCACAATCTCGATCAATTACGGTTGAATTTTGTTCTCGTTAAAAACTCGTTCGTCGGCAAACGAACCCGACAGTGTTGGCCGCCCAACAAATCATGAGATCTATCCGTAAATTGAAAATCTGCGTTTCAAAAGAAACCGTATAAAATATTTGAAATGCAACTACGATGGGTCCGTTTCAACGGCCTTCCGTTTCTATTCTTAAAATGTTCGGCAAGTTTCGTAACTTTCAAAATATAAGCCCAGATCTTCATCATATCATTTGCACTGACCGCCTTACGAATTAAAGAAGCTTTGCAAGGTAAATTTCGATTCTTCTCCCAAGGCCAAGCACATTAATATTCTTTTATGACTTTGATAATTTGCGTCAGTGATAATATAAATCCCCCTCGAAATTTGTATAGGATTGTTCTGCGGTCGTTCCGACAAAGAAACCGAGATTTGCTGAATAGAGTTAACAATGCCTAGCGGTTTTACGGCGTTGACATTTCGTATTAAGGGCTAAGACATCGAGACAATTTGTTCTCAGAAAACTATAATTGTTCTCTTTGTTTTGAGCGAGTGAATATGAATTATCCATTTAGACCGCGGGTCGTTGGGCAAAGTCTCGTATAATTCATTACTGTACAAACGCGGCAAACTAAACATTTTATAATTTCATGCCCGTTTCCGGATGTATATGCATGTCGGTCAGTGTGATTCGATCGGTAGTAGGCACGGTCGTCGCTATTAAAAGGGAGATGGAAGATCGAGGTTACAAAATGTAACAAAGCAACGGTTTTACTAACACTAACCCTATTCCAAACACCAACTCTAATCTAACCCTACTCCTAGTTTGTTTCTAAACGGTATTGAAGAAAAAAGTTTTGACGAAATGCTCATGAGGTCAACGAAATAACTTCTTCCAAGGAAGATGGACGAAAGGAAGTAGTCAAGATGGCGACTATTTTTCAAGATGGCGGCTATTTTTCAAGATCGTTTTAAAAACGGAAGAGATTATTTCGCTGGCCTCAGAGTGACAAAACGTAACAAAGCAACGGTTTTACTAACACTAACCCTACTCCAAACACCAACTCTAACCCTAATCCTTACCCTAACCTAGGACCCTACTCTAAATTTGTTTCTAAACCAATCTTGAAGAACTGAAGTTTTGACGAAATGTCATTCTGAGGTCAGCGAAATAGTTGATGCCTTTAAAAACTCAGCTGGCAATGAACGAAGTGGACTTAATTGATGTCAGCCAATCAGGAAGCTATCACCATGAACCAATCATAAAATCTTGTAAATAACGCACCTACGTAGTACGTATACTCAGTAATACTGTCAATCAAATCGTCCCTGGGGTCTGGTGTCAATAAGTCTTATATTGCCATATTGGTTAAGCCTCGGCGTGCCTCGCTGCGAACCCTCAGTGCCGTAATTGTTTTGCACTTCTAGAAATTACTTCGGACGCTTTTTAACGAGCTTTTATTAAAATGTGCACAATATAACATGCAATTATTGCCGAATTAATCATTTATGTAAACAGAATGAAAGCTGATATTTTTGCACGCCATTCTGTCGACTTGATTGGTGAGATAAAATAAATTAAATTGCTTGATTCCTGGCTATCAAATATAATTAATCTTGGCTTTTCACTAATCATTACAACGCAATACGCTTAGAGTTATTAATTATGGCAATGATTTATTCCTTTGCAAAATTTATTGATATTCAATTCTTGCCATTGTGAAATTGTCACCTGTAAAACAATGTCGAAGTTAAACTTTTGAAAGAACAAAACACCTTTTTGATTATATTTTTAAAATTAGCTGCCACGGTTGTTGTCAAAAGTACCCAAAAAAGTCTATAAACACTCCGACAAATGCTTAATCCAGGTTGATTTTAAATTCAAAGCAAGTTCGGCTCGGCCCTCTTTTTTCCCTCCCGTAGCAAAATTTTAAAAAAACAAAACTAAAAACTGAAATACTGGACCAATAAGATGATTTTTATTGGATCTTTAGGGAGAAAGGTTTAGTACTGGTAGAGCTATCCAGATAAATAAAGTAAGTTTAGTTTAGTCAAAATTTTATACCAGAAAGCCCCCAGAAATGATTAGAAATTCCTCGACACTTCGTGTTTTGGACTTATCACAAGACACAAGCCTCGTTTTTGATGACCGTGCAGCCGTATGAAGAAGCCTGGTTCCTAATGAGCGAGACCGTATTGCATTATGGGATTGGTTAAAAATTCTCTCTTGTTCCACGTTGTCTTTTGGTAAGAATTCATTTCGAAATTGATGTGAAAAAACCCTTTTAAATGTTCAATTTGAGTTCAGAATAGATGTTTTTTGGACTAGTTTAAGAGTTCAAACATTGGACTTTGATAAAATTGAGCGATTGGTACTTCTAACTAGATAGATTACTTACAAATTGGATTTGAAAATTGATCACAAAAATATATATTATGTAAAAGTTTTAATACTTGGTCAATATTATTCAACTTCAATTTGTGTTGAGAATCGATGTTTTGTGACTTAGTTAGAAAATATAAATCTAATCCTTCGATAGGGTGGAATATGCCATCTATATATGAATAGATATGTTTATAAAATTCAAAGTCGTGATGCATGTACAATCTAAAAGTTACTGTAAATATCCTCAAAATCGCTAAAATCTTTGAGTGAAAGCCCTGTGTCTGGAGTTACTAGTAAAACAATGCCATGCCTGACTTATAGCAAGAATGAATAATCTGTTTGAACAAACTTGGGTGTATGAGGCCCGATTTAGACAGCAAACTTTTCATGCACAAAACCTAATACAACAATTAAATATGACAGAAGAGCAGCGTCTAAATTAAGTTTGACAAGTTTTGATTAGGTTCGACATGGCACAAAATAGGACAAGTCATGTACTCGTGTTGTATTATGCAACACAGGTTTGACATGGGTTTAGATGCCATGCTTTTCATGCGCCGAACTTAACCCATTGAGCCGCAGTGCACCCTACTTCTTTATTTACTTGTCTAACGCCTGATGATTTTACTCGTCATTGGGGAAGCTCCTGCAGCTTAATGGGTTAATGCATAAATTTTTCATTGTAAAACGTACATTATCATACCTCTGATATATTGGCAATTTAACACTGAAATTTCTGATTTAGTGTACTTGTATTTTGGCACAGTACAATTAAGTCTGACATCTAAACAGTTGACGAACTTGTGCTGTATTTAATTTGTTTAGGTTCGGCGTATGAAAAGTTTGCCCCGTATAAACCGGACCTAAGCAGAGGGTCCTGAAGGGGTAGAATGGGAACTGGGATTGACCTATTTTTAGACTGGGAAAATGGGATTTGGGTTGCTGGGACTGGGATTTGGCCACTGGGAATGGGAAATGAAGTCCTCAAAAATGGGAATGGGATTGAGGTAATGTGAATCGATTCCCAATTTTTCCACGTTTTAAGTATTTTTAAATACAATTTTGATCTGTTTTTGGTGTCTTTGGTCATGATTTTTGTTGTTAACTATATTATTCACAGCACTAACTGCGAACAGGCATACTCTGGCGCCCGGAATTCTGGGTTTTATGATTATGCGTGTCTCAGAATGCTGCAAATGCCATTTCCGGGATTCAAATTTAAAAATTTTCCGTGCCTTCAGCACGACCCTCCCCCCGGTGGCTTAAAAAGTCTCAAAACTGTTTATTCTACCGATAAATAAAGGGGTTTTTATTGACTGGGATTTCAATAACTCCGACTGGGATTTCTAATAAAAATCCAACTGGGACTGGGATTTTGCCAAAATTTCAGGTGGGAAATGGGATTGGGACCCCCATGGGATTCAGGACCCTGTAAGCAGACTGTCTTGCCAATTGTGTATGCATAAATTCGGCAAACAAAAGCGTCATCAGTCGAGATGAACTGCCTGCGGTTTATGCATGGTGACCATGTTCCACTGATAAGTAATTTATTGTTTTGTAGTAATTCTTTAAACGTTTCAAACGCAATCCTTTATTGATTCAAAATGGTGAGGGAAGATAAGACAACATGGAAGTCAAACTATTTTGTAAAAATTATAGTAAGTGAAAAAAATCCTACATCTAACACAATTAACTTCTTTATGCCCCAAGAAGCAAGGGCATGCAAGACCTTGTTGAAGACTCGCTGACTTTAAATGGTTTCCACATAAAGTGCCAAGAAGTTTGAAGCTGCACAGGGCCACAGTTGCAGCGCCCACGACAGATGCCCCGTTGCCCAAACAGTGTGGGGGCAACAGGTTGCCTTTTTACAAGAACTACTATACATTTCAAAATTTGAAATTGTAAATTGTTTCAAGTAATTCAAACCAACTTGACCACATACAGTAGCTCAGTTGGCAGAGCATTGGACTAGTATCCCAAAGGTCGCGGATTCGGTTCCCACCATGGCCAAGCAAACTTTTCAGCTTGCCCGGTGTGGATGCACACTCAGAGTAACATCACAAACATCATATTCACCTGAGTACACATAACACCAACAAGGCAACAACACAAAAAAATTTAGTTCATATTTGAATCTGAAATTCCTCTGAAAGGGTTCAAGCTATATTTAAAAACAAAAGTCAAAACGAAAGCTGTTCTAAATTATTGACAAACTCTCATACAATATACATTTTAGTCTTTAGTGTCATGCAACAAATAAAATTGTTCCAATCAATGCAACAGCATCAGCAACAATATGATTTGGATGGCCAGTTTCAATATATTTGATGCTCTAGAGTAGCATAATAGACAACTTGCAAGATAGACTAATTTTTTTATCTTGGCAAAAAAAAAGTAAATTTCTGTAAAGAACATATTAAAATTGCAAAATTTGGTTATGAAATGTTGTAAAATAAGGAAAATATAGCCTTGCAAAGTTTACATATTTTGTATATGTTTGTACTACATGTGGAAATTGTTACCATTTTTGAGCCGAAACTGGTAACAATTTCCGCACATAATACAAACGCATACAAACTTTGCAAGACTATATTTTCCAAGCTTTACAACATTTTGGCATTTTGCAACCAAATTTTGCCATGTTAGGGACCGGTCATTATTTATGGAAGGGGGGGGGGAAATAAGGGGGGGCCATATGTAGAAATAAATGACAAGAAGGGGGGGGCTATTAAATTTTTTCAAGAAAATGATGGGGGGGGGGTTGCAATTAAATTTGAAGGAATTTGCTTAATTAATAACCTGGTATCCATTTGGTTGTAAATGTTGCAACTAAATCATGGTCACTGATGTGAAATAGTCTGGATTCATCTTGTCTTGTGTGTGCTGTATGCAAATCAGATTTATGGTTTGCAGACTTGTTAAATTGACAGTGTATTATTACATCAGCTCTTGATGTGGTTAAATACATTTAAATTAAGCAACGTTAACAGCGGATGTATTATGCAGGCCACATCCACTGAGGGGAGTCTGTGACGTCATATCGATCAGAGGGGGTTGTTTCATGCCTTGTGATCAGTGCTTCGGTCTGGATATTCATTCTGCCATTGTATGCTTTGCCTAGCTGCAGCAAGTTTTGCGCTTCGATACCTTTTCCCCACCCACCCACCTATGTTCATTCTAAAGGATTTTATCTGGTAGCTAGTATATGTCATTTTATTTTATATAATTTTTAATCTCACAGAAAATAGGATGTATAGACCACTATACATTGTATTTCGCAGGTATGCCTTGGCAGAATTGTCATTGCTATCTCCTTTTGCTGCTAATATTACTCATTGTTGCTCTCATTGTTGCTGCGCAGCTGCTATGGCAATACTTCGTACCATTAAGTCTAGTTGCAGCCTTAACCATGGTTACAATCGCCCAGACCAAATGGAAACCTGATTTTAGTGTTATATATAAAAATACTCCTCTTTTAATTATAATTTTCCGCTAATATATATTTTTGGTCGACGTTAATATCTTGCCAGTTCCATATTCTTATTTAATAATTAACACTATAACGCCTGGGTATCCCCATTTGACGAGCAAAAATGAAAATGGGGGGGGTCAAAGAAAAATATTCCAATATGCAGGGGGGTCATCATTAAATTTCTGCTCTTTTAGGAGGGGGGCTTTCAATTTTAAAAATTTAGAAAAGAAAAAATTCCCCTCCCCCCCTTCCATAAATAATGACCGGTCCCTTACTAATTTCATTATGTTCTTTTTAGCTGTGGTGTTGATTCTCTTCTCTTTACTTAGATTAAAATTTAGTCTAACATGGAAGTTGTCATTATAAAATAATAAAAATTAAATTAAGACTAATGTTTGTTGTTATGTAGCAATATCTTGATGAATACCCCAAAGTATTCATTGTTGGTGCTGACAATGTCGGTTCAAAACAAATGCAACAGATCCGTATCTCGTTACGAGGCAAAGGTGAATTGTTGATGGGCAAGAACACCATGATGCGTAAAGCAATCCGAGGACACCTCGAGAATAACCCACAACTTGAAAAGTAAGAGCAGATGGACAATGAATAAAATTAGCAATTCTGCATACTAACAAGCAAAGTTGTTTTGTGCCTTACAACTTTGGAAAATTTGATGTGTTATGCCAATGAAGGATTGGGATTCCAAATTAGTATTTTAAAAAAATGTTGGCTCTAAATTTTTATAAAATATGTTCATGATTGTCTTAGCTACTCAGTCAAACATCTACTCAATCAAATTGCAATAATTTAATTATTTGAATACTTCTAAACCTAACATATATTATAATATAGCATTGTTTATTTATTTAAAAAATTTCTGGTTTCTGATTGGCTAACAGCCAACTGTGAAATTGTTGTATCAACTCAATGGCTAACCAAATATGGATTTTTCGCATTCATATTTAGCAAAATGACGTCAAAGAGTCAATATGGAAAAAAATTGGACGTGTTTGCGCCATATTACTATGACGACGAGAGTCATATTGACTCGCTGACGCCATTGATATGACAACGACGACGGCTGCCGAAGGACTAAGGAATTGTTTTTTTCTTAATACAAATAAAATACAAATGTTTTGAATTTTTTAAATAAATAATAAAACAATTATTGAATTCGGTTTTCGCACAATATGAAGAATTATCAAGCCCTCAGTTTGCCGTTATCAACCTCAGGCTTTGGCAAATCATATTGTTGCTGTTGCAAACTTCGGGTTTGATAATTCTTCATATCGTGCTCAACCTCATTCAATAATTGTTAAATATTAATCAGTCACATGTTTGTCTGTCATGGTGGCTAAAATTTGAGACCTTCCAATCTGCAAACATGCTGCTAGTATGCATGCAAAAGCACTTGTTTATAAATTACAAGACGACAGATTAGCATGAGGCGGTTTCTACAAAAAAAAGACAAAAAAAACCCGAATGAACCAGCTTTTTATAAAAATGCGTTCGAAAATCGAAACTACAGTAAAAAAAGACACAACACGCCACTCAGTTCTCACAAAAGATATTAAATTAAACGTAAGGTATTTTGAAAACGTTCTCAAATTTCAAACAAAATCTCTTTAGTTTTTCGTGTGAAAATGCCAAAACTTGATTCATTTGCAACAAACTCGTATAAGTATGGTTCGATTTTAATAGTAAAATACCGATTTTTCTTCGGGGGGTTTTCATTTCCCCCCGGGTTTTCCAGTTTTTCACCAAAAGTAACATCAAGTATTTCGGTTTTCAAAAAAACATTGGTTTTTTCGGTTTACTGAAAAACCGCCGCACCCTACAACAGATTGGCTTTGATTTAATTAAGTATGGATGGATGTTCATTAATAGTTCCAAGTCTGATTTTTTTGCACATCGTTTGGAAAAGTAATGTGCAATTTTCACTATTTGGCCCAGAACAATATGCAATCTGTTAAATTAATCTGAACCCTGGTAAGAGGTGCTCCTTAGTGGATCTCTAAGAAACCTTTTAAAATTAACAGGACTAGAAAAACTTCAAATTTGTATGTTATATATTCAGGCTTCTTCCATACATCAAAGGAAATGTTGGTTTTGTGTTCACTAAGGAAGATCTGAATGAAGTGCGAGAAATCATACGAAGCAACAAAGTTGCCGCCCCTGCCAAGGCCGGAGCCATCGCTCCTATTGATGTTAAAGTGGCCCCGATTAACACTGGTCTGGGACCTGAGAAGACATCTTTCTTCCAAGCTTTGGCCATTCCCACCAAGATTACAAGAGGAACCATTGAAATCTTGGTAAGGAAAAAGCTGTCTACCATTCTGGCAGGGTTGGGCGATATTTACAAAATCACATCATGATTATCGTCTATTAATACATAATATAAACATTAAAGGTGATCTACAGTCCGATCTGCGCATGTGCACAAACGAGCCCACTTTTTATGATACAAACAGTTTAACTATGTTTTGGGTTCTTGAAAAGCCTGATTATTGTTTCTTGATCATTTATTATACTCTAGAAGCTTGAAAATATAAATAGTTGTCGAATAAAGCTCAATATTTTGGACACAAAAATGTAAACAAAGGCTTTGTTTACATACGGACTGTAGAGCACCTTTAACAAAATTAGGCTATATCTTATATAAGTCACACTGTGAATAATTGCATGAACCTTAGCCGTCTAGGGTTGGGCAGTTCAGGGTAAAAACCGAAAATGGTCTTAAAATCATCTTTCATAAAATAGTGGAAACACTGGGTAAAAAAATATGGCGGCCATTTCGGTTGCAAATTACGAATATTTCGGTCTTATTTTCGCTTTTAGGCGAGACTTTTTTTATTTATTGGTTTACGGATTTGACTTTAAAAATAAGAGGTCGGTAGGTCGGAAAATTTTTTTTAAAAAAAAACAAACTGAGTATAAATGAGAACCGAAATTAATAATCTTTATAAAAATTTTTAACGTCAATTTAAAAAAAAAATGCAAAAAACGTGGCTACAAACACAGAGTAGATAAGACATACAGAGACGTAACTGACCGTTGTAAACACTGCGGAAGATTACGTTATCATGTACCCACTTTTTTTCAGGCGACCGGGCGAAAAATGATTAACTGCGCGTGCTCAGCAAGTTTAAAGTGAGTCGTCATCAGGTTGTCATCCAATCAGATGCATGCATCTAGTAACTTGCCGAGCATGCGCACAAAAAAAGTGGGTACACTAGTTACGTCTCTGTATGTCTCTACTCTGTGCTACAAATCTACATATTGATTGTCACAACGATAACACAGAATAGATACAGGACCAGAAGTGTCACTCCGACGATATTTTGTCCGAAATTTTACGAGTGCTGACGTGAAAATACTCCATCATATGACGCCATCCTGGAGTGCACACAGAAGTTTTTCATAGGAAAACATAGGTACAAAGTGCCGGGTGCACTCCAGGATGGTGTCATAGCACGCAAAAAAATTTCGGATGTTTTCCTTCAGCCAAAACACATAGGAGTGACACTTCTGGTCTGCCGGTATCTATTCTGTGACGATAACATGAGCCAGCAGTACCTAGAGTCAAAGTTCACTTGAAGTGTACTTCATGTCAGAACCCCAAATTAATTAAAATTAACTAAAATTGTAAAATTTTTGACATCCAAATTTATTTTTTTTATTTTTCACTTTCTGAATATTTACGGTCGGCGAATCCGTAAACCAATGAATAAAAAAAGTCTCGCCTTACACACATCGGAAATAAGTCAAGGTACAGAATATGAATATGAATTGTTTGTAAGCCACCCCTATTTCTGCAAGTTTTCAAGTATTTTTTCCGTTTTTTTGTCAAAAGGAAATTCGTTTGAACCGGTTTTTAGCCATCCACTGCAATAGTGGCAAAGCAGCAAAATTTATATATTTGAGAAATTAAAAGAACTGTTCCGATTTTGTGAAAACATTGTACTGTACACATGCAAAACAATAGTTATTGACCATAACGATAATTACAATACTATATATCATCGCTCATTTTTTCTAACAGTACCTTCGATACGATAATCATGACTGAAAATATCACAATTATATCGAAATATCACTCTCAAGCTATACCATGGTCATACCTGTTGTTAATCATGTAGCTATAATGCCCCCTAAAGCACTTGCCATTATTTTATTTTGACTGATGCCGGGGCGATTTTACATTGACCTTATCTTGCTCCACATAACAAAATAATTTGTTACTTATAGAGTGACGTTCATTTGATCCATAAAAGTGAGAAAGTTGGTGCGTCTGAAGCCACATTGCTTCAGATGTTGAAGATCTACCCATTTTCGTATGGCTTGAACATTGAACAAGGTAAATAATATTATTTACTATATAGAAAACCATGCATTCGTGAAAGTTCTCCGGATTGATAATAACTTTTATAATAAATTAATTATAAAAATAATAAAAAGTAATAAAAAAAAATTATTAAGAAATTAATTACAAAAATAAAAAAAATAATTAAAAATAAATAATTAATGATTAATAAATATTTATATTTAGAACTATAAATATTTAGAAATTTCACAAATTATAATATAATATATATTGTACAGTACATATAAAATTAGGTTTCATTGTTTACAAAAACATTTGGCAGAGTCTCAATAGATATCCAGAGCATAATTAAATAAGTGCAACAAATTCCACTAGGTATCTTTATTGCTATTAGTTTTGTACCACAAGATGTGGCACTCATCAAATAAATTAGCCAGATATATCATATTTTTTTCTTATCATATTATTAGGCTAATTTACCTGATGAGTGCCACATGTTGTGGTACGAAACTAATAATAATAAAGATACCTAGTGGTATTTATTGAGTCGTTTAATTGGAGAGTCGTGGAATTTACCGACTATACTGATGTACTATCGTGGACACTGTTGTTATTAAAATAATGTATGATTTGTATTTCGGACATGTAGTGAAACACAGACTTAGTTAACATTTTCTAAAAAGCCTACTAGGTTTGCAATTTGTAAAACCTACAGACTTGGAATGTTCAGTTTTAGCCTTTACTGTTTCGCATTTGTTATAGTCTTAATCTCAAAAACGATCTGTGCCGTGCAGGTAGTGGCAAAAAGATAAGAATGCAACTGCCTGTATTTTTCAGGTACTTGCATGCTTATCTAACTTAAGAAATCATTTCGACCACATCAGTCGCTGTTGTCCGAAAAATTTTTAAAAAGCATTTTGACCACATTAGTCGCTGTCGTCCGAAAAGTTAGTGAAATTGCTCGCTTTGGTTCATTTACCTCTTGTATGTATATTTATATATGGTTTCTTAAAACCAAACTATGCTTTTGAATAGTGTATGAAGCTGGCAGCATATTTTCTCCCGATGTTTTGGACATAACTCAAGAGGATATATTGGCCAAATTTATACAGGTAAAATGAAACTGTAAAATACACATATTTTGAGAAACCTACTGCTCTATTGAAAACGTTTTATATCTGAACAACTGTTTAAATTTCAGGGTGTTGCTAATGTTGCTAGCGTGTCCTTGGCAATTGGTTATCCAACTACTGCCTCTGTTCCTCACTCCGTTGTGAATGGATTCAAGGTAAGGGATCGCACTCTTAATTCGGTGTGTTTGAAATAATTAAAGTTATAAAACTTAAGATTTATCGGAACTTGTCTTTCTAGAGACTCGTTTTTCAACAGGATTGTTTTTCTTTGGAGGAACAGTCTTCTCGCTCATATCACCGAATGTACCTCTATTTCCTCTTTCAAACACATTCTGTATTCTCACTTCCTTTCCAAACTTGAATCTACCTTCAGGTCGGTTCGAGTATAGTTCCTTCGATATCGATGTAATCTAGTAATCATGATTTTTTTCTGTATTGGTGTAATGTACTCAGGTGAATATGATGCTTTATACACTCAGAGTAACATCACAAGCATCATATTCACCTGAGTACATTACACAAACATAGAAAAAATTCATGATTACTAGATTACATCGATATCGAAGGAACTAGACTCAGTTCCAAAATATCACATACTCGAACCGACCTAGTATTCCAAAGGTCGTATGTTCGATTCCCACCGTGGCCAGGCATATTTTTCGGGCTTGCCCGGTGTGGATATACACTCAGAGTACATTACACCAACACACAAAGAATTCACCTGAGTACATTACACCAACACAGAAAAAATTCATGATTACATCGATATCGAAGGAACTAGACTAAGTTCCGAAATATCACATACTCGAACCGACCAGACCAGACCGCGTAGCTCAGTTGGCAGAGCATTGGGCTAGTATTCCAAAGGTCGTAGGTTCGATTCCCACCGTGGCCAGGCATATTTTTCAAGCCTGCCCGGTGTGGATATGCATTCAGAGTAACATCACAAGCATCATAATGGGAATTGTCTATATAATGCTTTTTTCCATTTCTAGAATGTGCTTGCCGTTGCATTAGGGACTGAGATCACCTTCCCAGCAGTTGAGCAACTCAAGGCGTACTTGGAAGATCCATCTGCCTTTGCAGCGGCTGCTCCCGCTGCGTCTGCTGGCGGCGATGGTGATGCGGAGGAAGACAAACAAGAAGAGAAGAAAGAAGAAGAAGAGGAGGAGGAAAGTGATGATGATATGGGCTTTGGATTGTTTGATTAAAACATTTACATTTGAAGCAATTAAAACATAGATAAACTGAATATAGTTGTTGTCTTTGCTTGCTTTATTTATACTGGATTCAGTGTGACCAGGTTTTTTCAGGGGAAATTACCACATCCGGTTTCATAAATTACTACATTCGGTCTAAAATTACCACGGTGCCATATTTTTCCATATTTTTTCAAAAAAATGTCCATATTTTAACGCAATAATGTTGGCGAGCGGGGGGGACACCAAAATTTTTCCGGAGAACCTCCTCTTAAATTAGGGTTGAAAAATTTTTTTCCGGACTAATAACAAGTAAAACATGGCCAAAACCAGTTTTTTTCAACAAAATCTGTACAATTAAGGTCTGGAAATTTCCAATTACCACAATCCTCCAAAAATGACGAAAAAATGGAAAAATTCCCACGGTAGTAATGAAATTACCACATCTGGTCGCACTGACTGGATTACTCTATCGTGCAATTCTAAACTGTTCTTCCTGAGGTGCAGTAACTAGTAAGGATCATCTCTTATTGATCCAGTGTTACTGCAGGAGGAAATCTAAACTAACTTTATTTATACTGAATTGCTCTATCAGTTCTAAACTGTTCTTCCTAGAGGTTCAGTGAGGGTCATCCCTTATTGATCCAGTGTTACTACAGGAGGAAGCCTAAACTAAACTAACTTTATTAATACTGGATAGCTTTATCAGTTCTAAACTATTCTTCCTAGAAGTTCAGTAAGGATCATCTCTTGTTGATCCAGTGTTACTACAGGAGAAAGCCTGAACTAACTTTATTTATACTGGTTAGCTTTAACGGATCATCCCTTGTTGATGGGAACAACCTGTTCACACTGCGTTTTTACCTGGTTTTTACCATAGTTTTGTTCATCACGTAGTCAGTGAATGTAACGAAC